AGAATGATTCGAGGATGCAAGAGGCCTGGTCCAGTGCGTTTTGACAAGCGTCCTGGGATTTAAAGCAAGAAAGAGTCTCGGCTCTGGCGATTAAGCCAGTCAACCAGCGCTCGGCGCAATTGCGCTCAAAGACGTCGACTTTGAGAGCGGCTATGTGGTGGTCTAGGCCGTCAATCTCCTCATGATCGTCGTCTGTCTCCGACACGTAGCCAGAGTCGGCGAGAGATGAATCGTGATGAGCAAACTTTTGCGTCTCGGGGCTAAGCTGAAAGGCGACGGACACGGCCAAGGGGCAGTAGATGACGGAGAGGTTCTGTAGGGCGGCGGCGACATCGGCTTCGGTGAGCTGGTTCAAAGTGCGCAAAGGCGGAAGACTGCTTGAGGGCGGCAGCGGATGCGCAGCGGGGCTCATGGGTCGCGACTTGCCTCACTACGCGGAGGCTGCAAGCGAGAATTGTGCTACTCGACAATACTTCATGGACGGAGAGAAGCACAGGTAGGGCGTGGGTTCGTGGAGAAGCATCAAATCGCGAATGAGTTTGTATCCCTCATGATTTGAGATGAGGCAACCTGGGGGAGGTCTTTGCTTGATGAAAAAGGATAACGACTGCAGGGTTCCGAGTCCCCTATCTTAGCGTGTCTGACACGAGCATGGCAGACCCGCTTTTGCCTAAATGAGGGCATCGTGAAAAATTGTTTTAGTAGCCCTATCCTTGGACTGTTAGACCTTGCCACCTTGGGAATCGGGACCGGGCAGCTGGAGAAGAACTTAGCGGTACCCTCAGGTTAGACCGGTAGGTAGGTGGGTCGGGGCCCTCTGTTCCGGCGATTCCCGTCAAGGAACAATCTCCCGGCTACCTCCATGAGGTAATCAAAGAGAATCCAAATCGTACCCCAGATCAGCCCGCCCCATATGCACTGAGAAATGCCGAAAATCACTCCTATGATAAGAGTGCTGGCAAATACCGCAGTGAAGGAGTATGGTGTTTTCGATGCCGCCCGTCCAGACCTGCCAACCACCGGCCCATTGCTCTGGGGGAGAAAACCATGAAAGGCGGCAATTTCCATTTCCTCCAAACAAGTCTCTTTGCACGTGACGAGTCAGGACCCCAGACCCACCTGTCTCACATACCTTGGTATGTATTTGCACACCCCAGAGGCTCAGTCCAAGTCCACGCATCCACCAATTAGCACCTCATTATCCAATTTGAGACTGGTTGGCTGGATGCCTATCTTGACCCAACTTGACGACGTTTTCATGGGGCCGGAAGGGACCGAGCCTAGCTGCCGAGGCACGGAGTACGTAGACAGCGCCCGATCACCGCTCCGTCCAAACCGTCAGCTTTTCTATCATGAAGACCGTCCAGTGACCTAGCCCACCACTGCCATTTTCTCCAAGCTTCGCAGTGCTAGACCCCGATAGATCGAGTCCATAGTCTCTCTACTTCGGATACCAACCTTGACGCAAAGCTCGAGTCTAGAGTTTCTGGGCCACTCCTTTTGACATGCAGAAAGGGGTTCCTAAACAGGGTCTTGATGTTGCAGGGCTGCTCACACCCTTTCTCCCGCGCCCGGCAATCCATCATACCTCACCCCACAAAAGTAATTATCTTGCAAGGATACAATGGATACCCGACTATCCTACGTTCAATATATCTTTCCCCAACTAGCTGATTACAAGCATAGTAATGCCGGTATCTGATGTGGCACACTCTGGATCCAATTACGGTAATTGAAGCACGTTGAGCGCGCGTCCCTTTTGGACGCGTTCATGGCGCAATATCGTCAATGACCGTCCTACAGTGAGACTTCACCTCCATCCTGATTTCTATTTCTTTAAAAGCATCGTTAATCGCCATCCGTACCTTGTTCTTATTCTTCAAACCATAGTTCATCCATCTCTTACCTTCTTATTCCGACATCTTTACCATGGGACGCGGAAGGCGTGCGTCGCCTCCGAAACTCCCACCACGGTCTCTTTCGCTTACTCCAGATTCCAATGTCCCCTCAACTTCCAAAGCTTCAAACCCGCATAAGACCATCAAAAGATGTTCCAACACTATGTTCGAGCTTTGGTGTTGCTCTAGGAAGAGGGCTTTCAGGGCGTGGCTTCAATTGGTTCTTGGGAATTCCTCCTCGAGCGGAAGTTCTTACAGACCCGCAAAGAGGGCGCTAAATGGATGCATACTCTGCCAGAAGAGACCTACCAAATCTGTATATGCCCTTCGTTCGACTTACCATCTATAAGTGTGTGAATATTAACATAAGTACGACGCCAAAAAGGGGTACGTTGAAACGAGACCGGTCTTTCCAGGGGTGAGGACGAAGGAAGCAAAGAGGCAATATGGCCATCGATTGGCCATTGTTGCTTTCCATCGAAGGGCTACCAAAGACCGTCTATTGGAGGGGTTGGACGTAAGCCACCTATGTGGACAAACTAACTGTATCAACCCTGGGCATTTGGTTGTCGAGTCTCACGCTGACAACCATGCGAGGAGACGGTGCCGCGCTGCTGTAAGTATTCACTAATTTTATTTTGTCTTTATTTGGACTCGAAAGTTGATCATAAGTCAGCTTACATTCACTATTATCGGAGACAAGGCACGCAGGAAAAGCTGGAAAGGCTGGGAAGGCTGGGAAGGCTGGCAAACCCGGGAAGGGAGAAAAGGCTGGAGGGGCTGGAAAGGGTGGGAAAGGAAAGGGAAGGAGGCTTCCGATGTCAAGCCCAAGTTTGAAGCAGCCTCGACTTTCGCCTGTACCCATGAACCAAGATGTGTGAAGTTCGTGGAGGAAGAGTACATGTATTAGTCGCTGGAGTCTGGCGGTCACCGCTTTCACTTTTTGCACATGCAAGTTGCATCTTCCTTTGTACAACAAGGTAATATAGGGTAGTGGTTCCATTAGCGTAGAGATGGCTCAATTTGGGAAAGACCTGAAAAGTGTATAGAGATTAAGCTTCCTGGTTCCGAGAGCGCAAATATTACAGAGACTTGATAATCAGCAATGGCTGGAAGTCGGCACCGCACATACTGTTTGCAGGCAAGCGGCGTAGTGGCGTAGCTACTAGAACGAACTGTTAAGGCTTTATCATCCTTTCTTTATTGTACCGAGTTTGGGAAGGCAGATAGTATCCTAGTACTACTTGAGTCAATTCCGAGACCGGTTGTGCATGACAGTGAATCTGAGATTCAAGAATGAGGAGCTGGAAGCAGAATTGGACTTCAAGTTGACCATTCTCATGTGGTATCATCATAATGCGTTTGCAGGAGGGATCATTGCCTTTGGCTGGAGTTTGAACGTGCTTGAGACATGTATATTAAGTCATGGGCCTTGTCATCCTTTTAGTAGCTAGCATGAGCGTTGGTCTATCCAACGTATGCGACGAAAGAGTTCACCTTCCCTCAATATTAAAGTTCATTCCAGCCCTTGACTACGTGGAGAGGAAGCAAGATCAACTTAGAGTCTAGAGTCTTACTTGACAAAGTCATGATCCAAGACAAGCAACTGATGAAAGCTGCTCTTGTAAGCGAGTTTTAGGCTTCTATTCAAAGATTTAGCCAGAAAAGCGTCTTAGAATTTGCCGTGCGATCGCAATAGGAGCATTGATATGGATTGTAGAGAATGAGTGTATTAAAAAAGAATGTGCAAGCCGGTGTACATCGCGGTGATTATGTGGCCGGGTCACGCAATATGCCAAGAGTCCACGGACGGTTGAAGCCATCACGACAGACTTCGGGCATCAATGCGAACTTATGAGTTATTGCGTGACAGCATGTCGGGACAACAACATACATCAGGCTAGGACTGTTGGCATAAGAGGTCTGATGGTAACAAGAATTGTCCTGAGCTATGTGATGTGCGGCACGACCCATCAACACGATACCAGGTAGAACATAGAGACCCGCCACTTCATCATCGAAATGTCCTACCTTCATGGAGTCTGTACATAAACCCTGTAAATTGTCGTACCTAGAATACCAAAGCTACCGAGAGATCAAATGTGAGATGTGCGGTATCAGGTTCGTCTAGGAAGAAAGCATGATCTTGGAGCTTTGGCCACGGCTTCGTCCGATAGAAAGACCTCATATTTAAAGTGAAAGTCGAGAGCCAAACGAGGGTGACTAAGCACGTTTGATAACAGTCGCTTAGAAAGTCTTTTCGCATAACAGAAGTGTATTCCAAACGAAAGACTCGGTCTAGTGACAGACTGAAGTGCTGAACGCGCTACCGAGCACGTGCTCGCGAGGCAAAATGGTAAGGGCATCACATTTTGGGTTCAACAGACGAAGCTTTAGCTCAGCTGACCACTCATTTGCTTTAACGAGGCGTGACATCAAACCAATTCCGTTTGAAATCCGGGCCGAGCGTCCGCGAAAGATGTTAATACCACAACCTTGGCCTGCGTGTGCTTGAGAACGTTGATCTAGAGCAGGTGCGTCAGACGTAAGTTCAGAAACCTAAAAGCCCCTAGAAATCAATAACAGGAGCCATCAAGTACCGTACAAACATGCAAAAGCATCCGGTATTCTGCATAAGTTTATATGTGTGTGTCGAGCCCGGCCGCGGACTGCGAAAGTGGTGCTGCACGTGTGTGAAAGATGTCGTGTCGTTGGGAAGGCAGCATGGGCTTTCAAGAGACTCTATGAGTGTACCGTCAAGAATAAGTGATATGTCTATAGGAAATCTAGCGCCTTGAAGAGATCATTTGTCCATCATTGTTCGCACGACTTAACAAGGATACCGTGGCGTTCTGCAGCCCTGGGCATACTTCAGGCTATAGTTTACTTTCATGATAAAGGTCAACGAAACAAGGAAGCCCGGATGATACCCGATCGCCTTTGGACACAGGCGGTTTCCATGGTTCAAGGGAGGAAAGCAGGGCTGATAGATTTGTCGACGTCGTTCAGTATTTAAACCCCATTCCTCACTGATGGTGCTCCTGATGTGTCTGCATGCCTTACACAAGTGCCAGATCGAACTACACAATTGTTTCAATCACAATGGGCTTTATGAAATCATCTCTGGCGTGTCTAGGGGCACTTGCCGTCCTGATCATCGCTACCCCTATAGACAAAACTTCAACCCCAGCTATCTCTGCTCGTGCTGAGGCTACCGTCTTTATGTGTGACGACACCCGCTTCAGAGGCCGCTGCCGAACCGACGTCCTTCAGACAGGATCTTGCTGTGAGTTCCGCTCCCACACTAAGCCCTTATCTCGATGCTTAATCGGTCGCTATAAGCATTTTACTTACAGAGGAGCTATGCGTAGATAATGTCCCGGAGAGTTTCGTTGACCGCATCAGCTCTATTCGTAATAATGATAGGAATAAAGATACTTGCACTTGGTATCGGTAAGTATAAACCTTGAGAACAGAATTGTTACTTAGAACCTTCTTGACTAAGAAAGACATTTCTTAAATATAGGGAGCGGCAATGTCGAGGGGAGTCCTATCGTAACCAGGATGATGATAATTTAGCTGATGGTAATGGCCGCTTTAACGATGCTATCCGAAGTTATGAGTGTAAGAGAAAGTAAATAATACTAAATAATAATAAAAATACGTATTTTTATTTCTTAATAGTAATTTATTATAATTAAAGCCTATAGTTAAGTAAAAAGAAAAGAGAATTTATTATTTAATTATGATATTAAAATCTATTATTAATTTAACTTTCTTGATTATAAGTTCAAAAGAACGCTCTTATAATATTATGATATTATAACGTTTCTTTCTAGGCTATGAATAAAACATCGAGTCTAAGATAATTAAGTTATATAGAAGATTATAAAATATAATATAATAGCTTTTTCTTAACTTAATAAATATAAAGAGTTAAATTTAACGTAATTAGTCGTTTAAGAAACGAACTATATAATTTAATATATTATTAAAACTAATGATATATAACTTAAGTTAACCCGCTTTATAAGCTATAATAATTATAATATATTAAATATTTGTTTTTATATTCTGCCTTTACTCGCTACTCGGGCGGTTTTCGATATCAATTACACGGTATTAATACACAGTATTAATAAATACTCCCACTATCTCAATAGAATATATTAAATATATTAATATATTTAAATATTATATATCTTTTTAGAAACAAAATCTTATAAAATAAGTTAAATAATAATAAATAAGAATAAAAAACTTAGTATACTGAAATAACGGGTCCCGTTTTTAAGATATATATAATATTTTGTTTTTTAGCTTTATAAGCGTAAAAGATTAACCTTAATAGTATTACGTTTTTAAAAGAAATTATATAATATAGTAAACTTTTTAATTATATAATATATAAAATATACCCTAAGTACGCGCTTAATATAATATAATAACTTTAATATAAAAAACTATTATATAACTTAGGATAAGTAAGCGACTTTTTATATAGTAGCGCTAGTTAAAAAGAGTAATAATAGAGATTAGTTATAAAAGTTAAAGGCGGCCCTTAATTATAAAAGTTCTAAACTTTAATAATAACGTAGAGGTTTTTTAAAAAAAAGGCTAAAAAGGCTAATATTTAACTACTTTTTAAAGCTTATAAAGATTTTTTATTCTTATTATTTTTAATATTACTTAAAGCTACTTTTTATTTAAACTAAATAAATTTATTGAATAAACTTATTAAACGAACTTATTAATATATAAACTACTATTTTATTAAAAATACTTTTTAATAAGTTACTCCCTCTAAGGCTCGATAGATTCTTAGGCCCCCTCGACGCTTTAGTTATTATAACTAACGTAAATGTACTTAAAGAGTAATATAATACTTTTTAATAATATAAAATCTAGCTAAGTAATAATATAAATACTATAAATAACTAGACTAATATAATATTAAAATCTAGCTTATTAATATTAATTGAAAAATTATATTTTATAAAACTAAATATTGTTTAAATACGGGCTATATTATAAATATAAAAGAATATATAAAGGGTTCTTTAATCTTTAATAAAAAAGAGTATATAATATAAAATCTAGCTACTTACGTAAGCTAGTATTAAGAGGTCCTATATACGTTAAAATAAGTATAGCTCGTTCTTTAGATAGTTAGAACTTAGAAAACTACGGTAGAAGGTTAGGAGCTATTAATAAAAAAGAAATAACGGTTAAGTTAATTAACTACTACTTTAATTAGTAATTAGGTATAGAGCGTAATATACTTAGTTTTCTTTAATACGTAATATATAGTACGGCCCTAGCAAATTACTCTGTTAGGGGGATTTTAAAATATATATATTTTATATATTTAAAATATAAAGTTTATTAAAATTATATATAAATCAAAGCCTAATATAATAGGTATAAAGAGGTAGTAAGGGATATGTTTTTCAAAGAAAAAAAGATTATATATAAAAGAAGTTTATCTCCCTAATAGAGCAATTTACCGGGGCCGTACTATATATTACGTAATAAAGAAAAACTAAGTATATCGCGCTTTATACCTAACTACTAATTAAAACTCTTAACTTTTTACTACTTCTAGCTATTTAAAAAGCGAGCTATACTTATTTTAATATATATAAAACCTCTTACCCTTTAGGGTCCGGTCCGCCTTATTAGGGGCTATCTTCGCCTTTATAAGTAAGCTAGTTTATTAAAGTTAATATTAAGTATTCTTTTTATATACTTTAATATAACCTTATAACTAACTATAGCCGGCCGCAGCCGTTACTAAGTAAAATAACCCCGCTTAGATAATATATTAATCGCCTTTTTAATAACTAAATACTACCCCTTACTTTCTCTTTTTATCTTAATTAATAATAACCTCTCCTTATTAATATTTTTATTTAATGCGTTTACTTACGCTCTTTCTAAGCTTTAAATTATATTATTAAGTCTAGGCTTATTTACTCTATTCTATTATATTACGAAAGTATTAATAAGAGTAATACTTTTTATAATATATCTATCTACTTTTTATAAGTTAATATTATAAACATAATATTTATTAAAATAGTCTTTTTATAGCTCGGGGTCGTTTAGTATAATATTTATAAAATCGAACTTTTAATCATTAAAAAAGCCCTGAGGGTTAACGAGTTATTAATAATATCTTAGTATTTTAATAAACTATACTTAAAGTAAATAGCTAAATAGTAATAATAATAATAATAGCGTAATAATAATAAATAAAAAGGGAAGCGTTTTTAATTTTAATAAAAGAAACGAAGTAGGAAATATTTATATATATATATATAAGTTTAAATTAGAAGTATATATTAGTGTTTATAAAACTTAGTATTATTCTTAACGACGGTAATAAAGGTATTTTTAATATTATATTATTAAAAGCTATTATTATTTAGAGGGGCTATAAACTTAGCTAAGTGCGCAGGCTTATAAAATAATAGCGTCGGGCGCCTAATATCGCTATTAATAATCCGTAGTTATAAATATTATAAAGAAAAAAGTTAAAAAAGAGGAAGAAAGTCTTAAAAAAAGATGGTTTATTAAAATAGTAGAAGTATTTATTAAAATTATATATTAATATTACATAATTAATTTTAAGAACCGCCCGAGTAGTTAGTAAAAGCAAAATAAATAAATAAATAAAACCTCTTGATATTAGCTTATATAATTAGCTAGATCTTATATTATACACCCCTTTTTATTAATAATTAAGGGACCCCTTATATATTTTTCTATATTTATAATATAGCCTATGTTAAAAAGATTTTTAATTTTATAAAATATAATTTTGAAGTTAATGTTTATATTTTAAATTTTAATATTTATATTAACTTAACTATTTATATAGTGGTTTTTTTCCGGCTTTATAAGTATAAAAGATCGACCTTAACGGGATTACGCTTTTAAAAAGAATTATATAATATAATATACTTTTTAAGTATATAATATACGTAATATATCCTAAGTATGCGCTTAATATAATATAATAATTTTAATACGAAAACCGCTATTTAATTTAAAATAAATAAGCTACCCTTTTTATTTTATATAACGGCGCTAATTAAAAAAGTTAATAATAAAGGTCGGCTATGATAATTAATTATAATAGTTAGCTATAATAATTAAAAACGGCCTTTTTTAACTACAGAGGTTCTAAACTTTAATAATAATATAGAACTTTTTTAAAAAGGGCTAAATAGGCTAATATTTATTACTCTTTAGAACTCGTAAAGATTCTTTAATATTTAAAATTAACTTAAGGAACTCCGTTTTTATTATTATAATCTATTTATTCCCCTCGATAGAATAATCCACTAGGGCCGTACTATATATTACGTATTAAAAAAAACTAAGTATATTACGCTCTATACCTAATTATTAATTAAAATAGCTCCCGACTTTTTCCTACTCGTTTAGAGAGCGAGCTATACCTACTCTAATATATATAAAACCTTTTAGTATTAGCCCGCGTAAGTAACTAGATCCTATATTATATACTCTTTTTTATTAAGGGTTAGGGGGCCCCTTATATATTTCCTTACGTTTATTATATAGTTAAAAAGTGTACCGTATTATGTAATTTCCTTTAAAAGCGTAATCCCGTTAAGGTCGATCTTTTGCGCTTATAAAGCTAGAAAAAAACTACTATATTCCCTTACGTTTATAATATAGCCCGTATTAAAAGGATTTTTAACTTTATAAAATATAATTTCTAAACTAATATTAATATACTAAATCTTAATATTCGTATTAGCCCGGCTATTTATAGCGTTTGTATTATTATTTAATTAGATTCCGTATTATTAAAAAGTACTTTATTACTTTTTAAGTATATTTACGTTAGTTACGATAGCTATAGCGTCGAGCTAGCTAAAGAGGGCGCCTAGCCCGAGAGGGGTAAACTTATTAATAAGTATTTTTAGCTTACTAATTATTAACTATATACTAAGAGAGTAGTAGTTTATATATTAATAAGTTTGTTTAGTAGATTTATTTAGTAAATTTATTTAATTTAAATAGAGAGTAGCTTTAAGTAATATTAAAAATAATAAGGATAAAAAGAATCTTTACGAGCTTTAATATAATAAAAAAGTAGTAAATATTAACCTATTTAGCCCTTTTTTTAAAAATCTCTACGTTACTATTAAAGTTTAGAACCTTTATAGTTAAAGAAGGCTACTTTTAACTATTACGGCCGATTATTATAATTAACTATTATAGCTAACTTCTATTATTAACCTTTCTAGCCAGCGCCGCTACGTAAGTATATTACTTAGCCTATTATTAATAAGTAATAGAGTAGCTTACTTATCCTAAATTATATAACGGTTTTTATATTAAAATTACTATATTACGTTAACCGCGTACTTAGGGTATATTACGTATATTATATAATTAAAAAATATATTATATTATATAATTTCTTTTAAAAGCGTAATCCTATTAAAATCGATCTTTTATGCTTATAAAAATAAAAGAAAACTATTATATAATCTATTTATTATTATATTTTAATCTTATTTATTTTTATTAAGTTCTTTTTTAGGGTACTTAGGCCCTCTAACCGCTTTTTATAATACCTAGGGCTTTATTTTAAACTATTTAGGCCCTAGGGCCCTTATAGCGCTTATTCTAAAGTACTTAGTTTACGTATTCTAAAGTACTTAGGGCGTCTACTTTAGAGTACTTAAAGCGGTTTTAAAGAGTTAATAGTACTTATTTTAAAATATTTAAAGCCTTTTTAAAGTACTCGCTATATTTATTTTAGAGTACTTAGAGAGCCGTTTTAGGGTACTTAGGGCGGTTTTAGGGAGCTAATAATACTTATTTTAAAATATTTAGGGAGCTATTTTAGGGTACTTAATACGTTTATTTTAAAATACTCAGGGCCTTTTTAAATTACTTATAGTACTTACTCTAGGGTACTTAGAGCGGCCCTAGTATACTTAAAAATAACTAGCTTTATACTATTTATTTTAGGGTATTTAAGTACTATATAACGCCTTTAGCCTAGCTAGCCGTTTCTTATTTTAAAGTACTTAGTAACGTAATATAATACTAAACTACTTCGGGAATACTTGAGTAGTTATTATTATTATTATTATTACTAAAATTAATAAAATACTTCGTACCCTCGCGGCCTATAATTACTAAAATTTATAAAAAAGTCGAGGTAAAAAAGGGCTTATTTTTAGTAAATTATAATAATAAGGCTATTTTATTATTTATAAGACCTTTTTATATAGTGGTTTTTTTTTAGCTTTATAAGTATAAAAGATCGACTTTAACGAGATTACGTTTTTAAAAGAAATTATATAATATAGTATACTTTTTAATTATATAATATGCGTAATATACCCTAAGTACGCGCTTAACGTAATATAATAATTTTAATATAAAAACCGCTATATAATTTAGGATAAGTAAGCTACCCTTTTTGTTATATAGCGGCACTAGTTAAAAAGGTTAATAATAAAAGTCGGCCGTAATAGTTAGTTATAATAATTAGCCGTAATAATTAGAGGCGGCCTTCCTTAACTATAGAGGTTTTAAACTTTAATAGTAACGTAGAGGTTTTTAGAAAAAGAGCTAAATAAACTAATATCTACTACTCTTTAGAGCTCGTAAAGATTCTTTTTATCCTTATCGCTTCTAATATTACTTAAAGCTACTCTCTATTTAAACTAAATAAATCTACTAAATAAATCTACTAAACAAACTTATTAATATATAAACTACTACTTTAACGAGAACTTACTCTACTCTTAGTATATAGTTAGTAATTAGTGGGCTAAAGATGCCCGTTAATAAGTCTACCCCTCTCGGGCTGGGCGCCCTCTTTAGCTAGCTCGACGCTATAGCTATTATAGCTAACGTAAGTATACCCGAGGATTAGTAAAGTACCTTTTAATAGTACGGAATTCGGCTAAGTAATAGTACGAATACTATAAATAGCCGGGCTAGTACGGACGTTAAGATCCGGTATATTAATATTAGTTTAGAAATTATATTTTATAAAGCTAGAAATCCCTTTAATACGGGCTATATTATAAATATAAGGGAATATATAAGGGGCCCCCTAACCCTTAACGAGAAGGAGTATATAATACGGGATCTAGCTACTTATATAGGCTAGTACTAGGAGGTCTTATATACGTTAAAATAGGTATAGCTCGCCCTCTAGATAGCTAGAACTTAGAGAATTATGGGGGAAGGTCGGGAGTTTTAATTAGTAATTAAGTATAGAGCGTAATATACTTAGTTTTCCTTAATACGTAATATATAATACGGCCCCGGCGGATTGCTCTATCGGGGGGATAAGACTTTTTTATATATTTAAATTATTTATAAAGAATTTAACCCCGCTCGTACTAAAATTATAATTTATAAAATATTATTATTTATTTTAAGAATAATAAAAAAATTATTTATTAAAATACTAAGCTAAAGCTTATTTATATTTATTTATATATATAAAAAATATCGTCGCGTTCTAGTATAGATTTTAATTTAAAAACGTTTAGTTATTATTTAGTAAATAATAATATTATAGTAATACTTAGTTAGATAGCTATAAAAACTAATTATTTAAATAAGTAGTTCTTCTCGTACTAAGCTTAATTATTATTACGACGAGGTTATTAATAAAATAAAATTAATTTATTTTATAACGGTTTAAACCTAGTTTATATTCCTTATTAATAAGTAAATAATTTAATACTTATTAAATTCTATTTTAATATAATAAAAAGAGTTAATATTAAAAAATTAAAAAGTAATATTACTATAAATACTTAGCTGCTATAAGCTAGTTATTTTTATAATAACCTTTTTAGTATTTTTAGTTTTAAATTTTAAGGGACTAAAAAATTAATAAGCTATACTTTTATAGTTTATATTTATACTAAAAATTAAAATTAAAAGAACTTTTATCTTTTTATTTTATTAGAGATTTTTATTTTTTATAAATCCCCCTTAGAATACTTATGTTATAGTTTAATAAATATACTACCCTAATTAAACTCCTTATTTAATAATATTTTTAACCTAGGTCGGCCCGTAAAAGACTTTAAAATTAAAAATTAAATATATATCTAGCCCCGCTTTATTAAATAAATAAAAAAATAAAAAAAGTAGTAGTATTTTACTAATATTAAAGCTCTTACTTATTCTATACTCTTTATATTCTTTTATAATATTAAACTAAAATTAAACTTAATAAAGTCTTCTTTCTTTATTAATTTTATTAAGCCCGTTCCCTTAGTTATAGTTTTATTAAATAATAAATAAGGATAATAAAAATCTCGTTAAGTTATTTATATATATTACTAATTAAATAACGAAGTATTTAGCTCTTTTAAAAAAGTATAATTACTCTTACTATTTACCCATACTTAGTTAAACTTTTTTATTTTAATATTTAAAGTACTAAGTAAAAATTATATTATATTAATATTATTTTTTAGTTATTATAATATTATATTTTAATTAAATAGTTAGATTCCCTTTATTTATATTAGTTTTAAATTAGTTATTAACTATATATTAAATAGCTAAAGCTTATTAAGGGCATTAGAACCTAAGTATTAAAAATTTCTAGCTAGTTACTTAGTTAGTAATAACTTATTCTTAAGTTATTTATTTAAAGTTTAATATACTTAACCTTTAGAACTAATCCTTATCCTAAAGTTATAGATCTATTTTATTAACTTTTTTTATTTATAATATTTTATTAATTAGAGGCTATTTATTTTAAAAACTTATTATAGTTATAAATACGACTTAGTATAAGAATTATTTTTTTTATAAATTTTTAAAGGATATTAAGAGCGTACTAAACTTAATAAAAATACTAAGCTCTTTTAATTATTAAACCCTAGCTTTAAATAAACCGATTTTAAAATAATAAATTATTAAAAAAAAAAAAGAACTTTACCTAGGGCCCCCGCCGTCGTTTTTATATTTAGTTATATTACTATATAAAACTTATATTTAAATATTAAAATATTAACTAGCTTCTTTTTTCTTATATAAAATATAAATACCCCTTTAAAATAGAACTTTTTTATAATTTAGGATTAACTAACTTATATCTAATTACTATTTATATAGAACCTTTCCCTACTTTAGTTTTTTAAGTTCTTATTAAAGTATTTATTATTATTATTAAGATCTATACTAAAGGCCGTTTTACTTAAGTTTATATTTTAAGCTTTATTATTAATTTTTATATCCGCTTATGCCTTAGTATATCGTTTTTATATTAAAAGCGAGGTATAAATAAGTTATTTAAATATTATTTATTTTTAAAGCTAGTATATTTAATAAATAAGTTATTATATAATTCTTAGTAAATTCCGATTTCTATAGCTACTATCTTATTATTAAAATATATTAATACTTTTTATAATATCTAATAAGTAACTACTCTAGTACCTTAACTTCGTATTTAGTTTATTTTATATTACTAGTTTTATTTATTAAGAATAGCCTATTAATATTAATATATTTAAATACTTACGTTTAACTAAGTAATAAAACTTCTTATATATTTAAAGTTTAAAAATAAATAAAAATAAAAAATAGCCCCCGAATCCCTAATTATTCGCTTTACTTTATAAAACTAAGCTTAATATTACTATTTTAAAAAAAACTTTAATAAAAACTAGCTATTAAAAAGTTCGATTAGTTTTTTATTTTTATACGTATATTTAATAATTAATTTATATATTAAAACCGCTACGAACCTCTATTAAAGTTTTTTTTAACTTTACTTTATATATATATAGTTTACTTTTTTTTAGGTTTAACCCTATATACTCTTACTTAAATCTATTTAAAAATATTAAAATTAGTTAATAATATACTAAAGCTCTTACTTATATTTATTTTTATTATATATAGGGGTTTAATACTTAAATACTTATATATAAAGTTAACTCCTTAATCCGTATTTTAAAACGGGTTATTAATAACTATTATACTAATATTTTTATAGAGCGCGTACCTTAGCTTATTAAAAAATATTATATAATAAATTATAATACTCTTTAAAAAGAGCTATGTTCTTAAAGCTTTTATTTTTAATAATAAGCTAATACTAGCTTATACTAATAAAGTACTTTAGTTACGAGAGCTAAGTAATTTACTAGATATAAGTTTAGTTATAAACGCTTCTTTTTTAATAATTTTATATACTATTTAGCCCTCTTTTTAAAGTATTTTTTATTTTTTAATTACTTTATTTATATACTATTAGTCTCTAGCTAATATTTAACTTTAAAAAAAATATACTTTTTATTTAAAATAGTATTTCTAAACTACTTAACTTATTAAAAAAGCTTTATAAAAGCTTAGTATTTAACTATATAAGGCTCTTATTTTCTATAGTATCCCGTTTTAAAAAACTTAAAAAGCACTGCGCTAAAAATATTTTTTATAAATTATAACTCGGGCCTAGGGCTAAATTTTAAATTTAAATTATTACTACTTTACTTATTATTATTAAGGTAATCCTTATTAATTTTTTTTCTTCTACTTAATAATATACGTAAATTTAATAAGTATTTTTACTTAATTTAAAGTTAACTTATAAAAAGTTTAGGGGTTTTATAATAAGAGTTTTTTTAGATCTTAGTACGAGATATTAATTACTACGTAAAAGAGGCTCTAAAAAGGTCCGCTACTATTTTTTAAAACTTATATATATTATAAAACCTTAAAACTAAGTAGTACTTAAAAATTAAAATAATATTTAAATAAGTATACTTACTAAAATACTAGCGAGCGTAATATATATTTAAAAATTCGATAATTTATTAAACTTTATAATTTATATTATTTATTATATTTCGTTACGTTTTTTATTAATACTAAAACTAAAAAATCCGTTATTAAAAGTTTTAATTATTTACTTATATTACTTAGAAAAGATATTATATAAATAAAGTTTAGTTTTTTTTAGTAAGCGCCCCGTCTTCGTAATAGGGGCCGGTACTAAGAAAAGAGGCCTATAAAAAGCTTCTTTTATTTACTAAAATAATAGTTAAGTATATTTATAAAAGGTTATAAAATAATAACTTAATAATAATCCCTTTATTAATTTATTAATAGAGACTTTATTATAACTTTTACTTTTTCTAAATAACTAAATTTAAATAACTTTTTAGCCCTAAGTAGCGGTTACTTACCTTTTTAAGCTAGTTTAAAAGCCTTACTAAGCTATTTAATTAATAATAATAACGGGTAATATATATAAAAAGTAGGGACGTAATTAATATAAGCTAATAACTTATACTTATTAAAGATTCCTTATTAAAAAGTAATAATTATAATACTTTATTTTTAGTACGATAGAGTTTAATAAAATTATCTAGGCTTTTTAATTAAAAAAGAACTTACTAGCTCTATTAATATAATATATATACGGCTTAGAATATTTAAGAGTATTATAAACTTATTATTATTTTAAACTTTTATTAGTTTAAATTAATAATCCTTTTAAAAAGCTAGTATATTATTAAAATAATACGGGCTATTTAGTAAATTAAAATCTCGTTTATTATTATAATTAAGTAAATAAATTACTTTACTAACTAAAAATAGCTATATATTATTACTTATAAAATTAAAAAAGAGCTCTTAATTTATTAATTTTTATTATATTTAAACTTAGTAAGTTTCCTCGTATTAAATTAAATTAAGCCGTAAGCTCTATTCTTAGTAATACCCTTTTATTAATTTTTTTAAGTTTTAGCTTTATAATTATACTCCCCTTAGAACTTAAGTACTTTAATTTTTTATAAAGTACTAAACGAGTTAAAAAATAATATTATTTAATCCCTAATTAATATAGTTTATAATTAAAACTACGATAATATCTAATTATTTTCGATCCCCTAACTTTCGTTCTTAATAAATAAAAATATCCTTAGTAAATACTTTTATAATAGTTAGTTTTTAATAAATTTAAGAACTTTACTTCTAATAATTAAATACTAATATTCCTAACTATCTTTATTAATTATTATAATAGTTTTAAAAATTAATAAAATAAAACTATACGTCCTATTTTATTATTTTATACTAATATATTTAAGTAAAAGCCTATTTAGAGTACTCTAATCTTTTTAAAATAAAAATCCTATTTTTTTAATATATTTAATAAAGGGTATATAGTTTTATAAAGGGAAAGGCCCGGCCGGATTAATATAAATAGTAAAATAGAACGGCTAGCTAAGCTTAAGGTTTTATTACGAGCTTTTTAACTAAAATAATTTTAATATATATTATTAAAATTAGAATTATTACGGCTACTAATACTAAACTTACTTTTTAATTATTCTTTATTAAGGGATTTAAATTATACTTATTCTAATTATAAAACTTAAAAGAGCCCTATATTAGTATTTATTATTACTATTTTCCTATATTAGGATTAAGTAATTTGCGTACCTATTATTTTTTTTAAATATAGTAGCCGTTTTTTAAGCTCTTTTTTTAGAGTTAAGCCCTAACCCTCCGTTACTTATTATAACTATATTAAAATACTACTTTAATATTAAAAATTAATAGGGAAGAAATTTAAATAAATTATTACTAATATAAAGTTATATAATTCGAGAAGTTATTATAAATTGTTAGTAAGCTCCGAAGGGTATTAGTTTTTAATTTAATAAATATACTTTTTTTAAAGTCGAGGTTTTTAGTATATATTAGCTTTAAAATTATTATAGTTATTTATATAGTAAGGTATTATTAAATAAATAATAACTTATATAATAAGCTATTCGTAGTTTTATAATAAAAGTATTTAAACTTAGATATATATAGCTTAATTTTTAAAATAAGTATATAACTATTAATAAAATTAACTAAGTAATTATTATAAGCCCGTAAGGGCTATTAGCACTATAAGTAATAACTAAAAAGATTATATTATAAATTAAGCGGGCTACTATTTTTAAAAACGGCGTTCGTATTATAAAAGTAGCTTATTAACTAGGCTAATTAGCGCCCCCGTAGCTTTTAACTTATTACCCCTCGTTTTTTAAAACCCCGTTTACTATATTAAGTATAACTAGGGGGCCCTAAAAAAAAAAATTAGCCCCGCTACTTTAACTATTTAGTATTTATAATAAACGTCTTTTTCTTAATACTTAATAAAAAGCTAGTTAATAACTATTTATTTATAAAGCCTATTTTTAGGAACTAGGGTACTAAAGCGTACTAATTTTATAAAAGAATATAAGTTTAATAGTTTACTAAAGCGGCCGTTATACTTATAAGTAATTATAACTATAAGCTATTATTAACTGAGATATAATTACTTATAGGGCTAGTTAGGTAGTTATAATGCTATAATTTATAAAATACGGAACGTTTAATTACTATACTACTTTTTTATAGCGTACTTATTACTATTATTACGTACTAAAATAAAGTAATTACGCTATATTATTTATAAACTATACTTACTCTTTTTTTATAAACCCTATAGCACTTTATTATAACTTAATACGTATAATAAGGCTAGGGCCTCGCCCTATAAAACCTATAGCGGCTATTATACTATATATATAAAAATACGGACTTAGGGTAACTCTTTTTAAAATAGAAGAACTATAAATAAGTTACGTAACTATAATTATATAATAAGATAAAGAACGGATACCCGTAAATAAGTAGGACGGACGATTATAAATAAGTAGGACGGACGACCGTTTAGTAAATAGTTAGATAATAATAAATAAGAATATTATAAAGGATATATTTAAGAATAAGACTTATATATAATATAAACTTAAACTAGGCTTAAAAATAGACTTTTTATAGCTTCTTTAATAATTAACTTAATATTAGATCTTACGATTACTTTTAGCTATTTTTATTAAGAACCTTTTTTAATAAGATTATAATTAATTATTAAAGCTTTATTTACTTTATTATTTATAAATATAGTTTTAAAAAAGCTATTTACGACTACGATACTATTTACTTAGTACTCGTAACCTTAACTTTTATTAATATACTTATTATAATAAGCTAGCCGTAATACTTTAATTACTCTTATTTAGTAAGTTAACCTTACGAGACTTATTAAGTAGTAAAATAAATAACGATATTTTTTAAAACCCTAAGTACCCCTTTATTTAACTCTAAGCGACCCGTTAACTTAGTTAGTAAGTTAGCTAGGGTTAAGGATAACGAGATACCTAATATTACTTACGACTCTAATAATAACGTAGTTTTTAAAAAAGTAAATTATAAAAAAATACGGCGCACTATTAAGAAAAGTAATAAGTAAAATAAGGAACTTATAGAACTTTTTAATAATAACTCTATTTAAATAGCTATAACTCTAACTAAGAATAATAAAAATATTACCGCTTTTTAAAATATAGTTAATAAAGCTATAACTAACTTAGGAATTAAAAAAAGAGAAATAAACGATTTAGAATAAAAAGTTAGAACCCTCTAAGTTACTATTAGTATTATTAAGATTCTTATAGATAGATAAGAAAAACTTAAATTTAATATACCTATTATTTTTAATAAAACTACTAGACGTTTTAAGGGATTTTTAATTTAAATTAGAACTTATTAAACGTTTTACGTTACTAATTTTTATAATAAGATTAAACGAGTTATTTATATAGTAACCTTTTTTAAGGGACGAGCCCTAGAGTAGTTCGAACCTTTTTAAAAAAAATTCTTTAGTAATAACGGTTATTTATTATATTATAAAGAAAAAACTATAAATATTTTTAGTAATATAATAGGATTTTAGAATGCCCTTAAATCCCTATTCTAAGACTTTAATAAAAAGCGATAAGCTAAGAGAGACTTAGCTAATTTTTAATAAACTAAGTTTACTTCGTATTACGCTACTAAGTTTAAAAAACTCGTAGTACGACTCGATTTTATTAAAGAAACTTATATTTTTTTATTTTATTAAGGATTAAAGGATAAAGTTAAGGACGAACTTAGTAAAATAGAAATACTAATAAAATTCTTATAGTATATCGAACTTACTATTAAGATCGATACTTAATTATATAAACGACGTAAAAAAAAAGGGGAAGTACGATACCCTTAGGCTAACTCTAGTTAAAAATACTAAAACTATAATAAACTACTAAGTAATTACTAGAATAACTTAAGAAATTAATAATAATAAAGTACGTTTTATAAATAATACGGAGGATTTATAGACCTTAGTATTACTAAATGCGAAGAATTATAATAAAAAAAGGATTTTAAATATTATAATTATAATAAACTAGGATATATAGCTAAAGATTATTAATAACCTAAGTATATTTAATACTAACCTATTTTAAAAAAACGAGCTAATATTATAAGTAGAGAAGTCCTCTATAAGTAACTCTTATAAATAGCTTATTACGATAATAACTATCTTACTTACTAAAATAGTAAAGAATAAATAGGATAGTACTTAAAATAAGTTAAAATTAAAAAATAATCCGGGTATAATACTATACTACCCCCTATTAAGACCCTAGTAATAATAATAAAAAAAAAAAAATACCCGCCTACCGACCCTATATTTTTAAATAAAATAATATTAAGTATATTATTACGCTTTCTTAAATTTATAAAAATATAAAAAAGAAGGCTAAAATAGACCCCGTTATAAGAGATATATTTTACTTCCTCGAAGGCCGAATTAAGTAAAAACTCTTAGTTAATAGAAGGGAGTAACTCCTTAAATTTAAAAAAAGAGGACCTAATACTAAAAAAATTATAAGTAGCCTTGTTTATATAATATAACGAAATTATATAAATTAGAAATAATTTACTAAGTTTAAAGAAGGACTTAATTTAAATAAAATCCTAATTAAGTCTATTTATATAATACGAAAAGTAAATAGTAATAGAAAATTTATTTATAAGGTTAAGGAGTAGCTTAAAGACTTTTTATATAAAAATAAGATCGAAATAATTAAAAGACCGACTCTTAATTTCGGAGTTATAAAAAAAAGGAAAATTAACTTTAACCTTAAAAAAGAAAATATTAAAATAGGACCTAGCTCCTTTTATTTTAACGAAGTAGAATTACCTTATAATTCGGACGAACTTCGTAATATTACTTAATAACGTGCTTAAATAGAAATTGATTATAAAGTATTACTTAGCGTTAATAATACTAACTCTAAAAAGGATAATAAAGAACTATAGTATAAATATATTTATCTATTTAAAAATAACTAAATTATTTAGTTCTATAAAACTAAAAAACGTAAAAAAGTTATAATAACCCCCTATATAGATAAAGACTATTCTTTACTTAACCCTACGGACCCTTTTTATAAAGAATTATTCTAAGTAAAATACTTAGATAATAAATATTTCTAGTACTTCGTATATAAATAAAATAGCCGCTTTTACTTATAAAAACGTAATAATAAACTTATTAAAAATATTTATATAAAAAACTAATTACTTAGCTAGACGTTACTAAGTTTTAATAATAATAATAAAGTAATATTCGGTCTAAACCCTAGCTTTTTTATAAAATACTTTAATAGTAAGTATATAGAATAAGAAGATTATAAATATAACTAATATTAAGTCTATTATATTAAAAAAGCTAGGGTATAGAGGGAATAATAAGAACTATATAAGTAAGGCGCTTAATAAAAGAAGCGTATATTAAAAAACTAAAAAAGCTAATTACGAAAGAACGACGAGAAGCGAGAATAGAAAAAAAGTTCTTATGTATAACTAAATAACGTAACGACGTATATTTACGAGTTAACCTCGATATTTATAAACGAGGACTAAACGCTATTATTAATAGCGGCGTATAAGAAACTTATATTTTACTAAAGATAGTAAATAAACTTAATTTATTATAAGTATAAAAGAATAATTTATATTAATTATAAATAGTAGAAGGAGAACGAGTTAATTATAACTATAAATATATTAATTAAGAGACCGTATACCTCTCGATATATATTAATAACTAATAAGAATAACTATAATATAATATTATAGAGATCGGAGATATTAATATTATCTTAGGAATCTCGTAGTTACGAAAATATAACTTATAGATAGATTGGACTACTAGCTAGGTTTTCTAGGAAAATCTAGTTACTAAACGACTTAAGAAAAAAAAGGGTTTAAACGGATTTTTAGTAACTCTTAAAAAACGAGAATAAATATAATATATAGCTTTTATTAAAACGGTAAAAAGCTTTAGGAAGTTCGTATATAGTACTAACGATCGAGGATTATAATAACTCTAAATTATACTTAAAGAGTATTAAATATATACAAAACTATTTATAGAACCTAAAGAAATAGGATTATTAAAATATAGTAATTAAGATATAAAAATCGAACTTAAAGAAGGAGCGTAACCCAGGTTCTATTTAATATACTTAATAAACTAAGAAGAATAAGAATATTTTAATAAATATATTAATAAGAAGCTTAAAAAGGGATATATTTAACTATCGAATTCTCTCGTAGGATTCTCCTTATTCTTTATATTAAAAAAGGGTAGAAAATTAAGACTTATTATTAACTATAAAAGACTTAACGAAATTACGAAGAAGAATTACTACCCCTTATTACTTATTACTAAGCTTAGAGATTTACTTTATAAAGCTAACTAGTTTACTACTATAAATCTTAAGGAAGTATTTAATTAAATTCGAATTAAGGAAAGAGATAAATAGAAAATAATATTTCGAACTTATAAAGGACTTTTTGAGTACCTCGTTATACCCTTCGGACTTATTAATATTCTAATAACTTTTTAAATAATAGTTAACTACGTACTCTAAGAATACGTTAATATTTTTATTATTATTTATATTAATAATGTTCTTATTTTCTCCCCTAACCTCGAAATATATAAGAAGTATATTTATATAGTATTTTAAAAACTCTAAGATACTAAACTATATACTAAACTTTCTAAATACGAGTTTTATATATAGAAAGTAGATTTTTTAGGATATATTATTATACTAAGATAAATCTATATATAAGTATTAAAAGTAGAGATAGTTAGGGACTAGCCTATATTATAAAACGTTAAGGACGTATAAGGATTCTTAGGATTTGTTAATTTTTATTAACGATTCTTTAAGGACTACGTTAATATAGTTAGACCTCTTAATAACTTAATATAGAAAAATACTCTATTTATTTAGGACCCTAGGTATAAGGAAGTATTTATTAAAGTTAAAAATATAGTCGTCTCCGAATTAGTTATTATAATTCTAGACCCCTAAAAACCTTTTGAAATTAAGACCGACGCTTTAAATTTTATTATAAGAGCGGTCTTAAAATAACAAAACGAATAAAAAAAACTTTACTTATATTACTTCTACTCTAAGGTATTCTATAGAGCAGAATTAAATTAGTAAATCTATAATAAAGAACTAATAGTAATTATTAAAGTATTTTAAGAATAGAAACTATAGTTATCCAGAACTAAATACGAAGTTATAGTCTATATAAACTATAAAAATCTTATAAACTTTATAACGAATAAGAACTTAAATAAACGATAAGTTAGATAGAGCGAATTCTTATTTAAGTATAATTTCCGAATTATTTATTAGAAAAGTTTAGAAAATAGTAAAATAAACGCTCTTAATAAAAGACCTAATTACGAGGTTGCGGTTCCCAAAAGAATATAAATTATTTTTAAATAAAAGAAAGATAGTAGCCTTATACTAATTATAAAACTTTTTATAATAGCTAAAAGGATTAATACTAGCCCGATTAGAAAAATAACCCCTAAACTTATTATAGAAATTTATAGTATATTAGTATACGGTTACTAAAAAATTATTAAAATATAAAAACGGATTCGCTAGTACTATAATAAATCTACTATACGCGCTAAAATTATAAAAGTAATTAAGGACTACGTAACTTATAAAAAAAATAAGAATAGTCTATATAAGCTTTATAGCGAGCTATAACTATTATAATTACTAATAGAAGTATAGTAATTAATTATATAGGACTTTATTGTTAAATTACTAAAATTTAGAGAACTATTTATTAAAGTATAGTATAATAGTATTTTAGTTATAGTCGATCGACTTACTAAGTTCGCTTATTTTATTCCTTATAAAGAATTAAGTACGGTAGAAGACCTAGTATACGTATTTATTAAGGTTATATTTTTAAACTACGGTTTACTAAAAAAAATTATTTTTAATAGAGATAAGCTATTTATTTCGAAGTTTTAGAAATCTCTAATTTCGTAACTTAGTATAGACTATAAATTATTAATATTATTTTATTTATAAACCGATAGATAAATAAAAAGGATTAACTAAATCCTTAAGATATACTTTTGTTATTATATAAACTATAACTAGGATAATTAGGTAGCACTTTTACTAATAGCCTAGTTCGTATATAATAGTATAGTTAGTAAAAGTACGAGAGAATTCCCGTTCTACTTTAACTACGGATTTTAATTAATAATATATAGAGAAATATAATAAGGATTATAAGCTATAAAAGCTATAGTAAACGTAAATAAGCTTAAAGAGATTTATAAATAAGTATTAATAAACCTCGAGTTCGTATAATAGTATATAAAAAAGAATGCGGATAGATTAAGGATTAGAGGACTATTTTTAAAAAAAGGGGATAGTACTTATTTCTTTTACTATAATATTAAAATAAAATAACTAAGTAATAAGTTAGACTATAAAAAACTTAGACCCTTCGAAATTATTAAGAAAGTCTTATTAATTAATTACGAATTAAAATTACTAAATATAATACGATACTACTCTATTTTTTACGTCTTATTACTCGAGCCTATACTAAGAGGTTTATATATAGAAGATTATATTATTATTAAACTAAACTAATTAAAATATAAAATCGAACGAATTATTAATTATAAAATAAAAAATAATAAAAAAGGAAACTTTATTAAATAAAAAAACTATAGATATAAAAAAAATATATAGGAACTTATTACGAACTTCTAGAACTCTTAATAACTTCTTAAGGAGTACTAAAATTAAAATCAAATCTAGAACTCTTAGTTATTACGGCGTCCTAATTAATAATCCTAAAAATACTATTAGCTTATACTTTACGGGCTACTAAAGAAGTAATTTTAGAACCTTTAAAAAACTCCTCTAAT